TTTGTGTGTATCCTCACCAGAAGGTGTTGAAAAAAAAAAAAAAAAAAAAAAAAAAAAAAAAAAAAAGAAGAAGAAAAAAGGATTTAGTGTATAAAATCTTGTGCATGAAGTGTCTAGTGGAATTCTAACCATTGACGTTTTAACTTGACTGGAAAGATCCTTGGTGTCCTAAGCAACCTGTTGAAATTGGCCTTGCTTTGAGCAGGGTTTGGACCGGATGATTTTTGGTTTTTTTGGAGGGGGGAGTCATGTCTACCCTAAACTATTCTATGAAGAAAACCTGTCTTCCCTGTTTCCCTGAAGATGGTATTTTGACCTTCTGAAGTAAAATATATGCTGGGGAGGAGAGGGGGAATGGGAGTTAAGGAGATGGATTCATGGGCATAAACCTCAAATTAGTGGTGAAAAATTAAAATCCTGTGGAGAATTGGTAGCCTTGTAAATAGGTTAGATAACAGTTGGTGGAAAACTAACTCTCCAGTATCTAACTTATAGTTTTGGAAAAGCATCCGGAGCAAGTATGCTGTTCAGATGGAACCTACTCAGTTGTGAATGTTAGTGGTTACAATAAGTTTCATTACTTAAAAGTGAAGCGCTTAAAAGCCTTTCATAGGACGTTTTAGCAGTAGTAGTGTATGTTTCTATTGATATTAGTGATTAAGTTTTATCAAAGGAAGCTTTGCATTAGTGTGTGTCTCAGGCACGCAGAGTCCTTGATATGCGTAGGTAAGCTGTCCATTTTTTATTTAGAGTTGAAAGATGAAGCAGCAGGAAAACTTGACTAGTGAGGAAAATGCTATTGAATCTATGAAATATCGGGCATAAGTTTTTAGTTTTATAAGGCTTGCTGGCTTTTATCGGCAAAGTTTCTGTAAGATTCCACATGCGTATGAGTTAAAGATGAGTGCATACTTAAATCTGTTTATTTTTCTTCTTTTTATGCATAGAAACTGTCAAGCTTGATTTCCTTTCTTGGTCTAAGCCTGCAGTTGACTTTTCTTTTAACTTTTAGAAACCTTGTTGACAGCTGGGTCTTGGGTTTGATTTTTTTTTTTTTTTTTTTCCCCCTACATAAGTATCAGTTTCTCAGTGTTAAAGGACTTCCTCTAAAATAGTGTGTGTAGTTGGTTGGTTTGTTTTTGTTAGGGGCACTACTACCTTTCACCCCACTCTTATCAAGCCTTGCCATATAGTTTATGGAGGTTCTTTAGAGTCTGTGTTAAACTCAGCCAATTGGATGCATCTACTTGGCATGCCCCGAAACCTCCTATAGTGTAGTCTTAGAGTGGCAATGATCAACTTGTACTTTCTTTTTTCCTCTCAGCCATATTCATTACTGGATATGTAATTTCGAGTTTAATATAGAGGAGTACATCTTATCCTGGGAGTCTCTTCATGTTCATCTTGTTTTCTAATGTGTGTTTAATTTGGTGTAAAGATCTGTTGTCTTTAGTTCTGTTACTGCAAAAGCAGAATGAACAGTAAGATGCAGCTTGGTAATGTTATAGAGCCACAGGTATGCTTGAGGTTGGGTTGCTCAAATAAGTAATCTTGAGACAGTAGCAACAAAAACTACTGAAAACATCATTGAAGTAATACAGTGTTCTTAGGGCACAAACAAGCTGCTAGAAGGCATTTTTTGGTGAAAATGTTTTATTTTCTACAGGCATTTTTTGGTGAAAATACATATCCAAAAAAGGAATAGTTGAGTTGATTCAAATATTAGATTTCTGAGTGTTTTCTGATCATCTTGGTGTAGCTAAGGCCTCTTAATTATTAAAGGTAGCCCATTAATAAACTAATTATACTTAAAATGTTTCCTTTTATATGCTTCTAATGAGAATGACTTTTCTGTTTAGCTATGTACCTTTCTAGAAGTATAAGAAGCTTTTAGCTAAGTTTCCTTACAGTATTTTTCTGTCCTAATAAGCCTTTTACAGTTAAAAATCTGATCATTTTGTGAAGGCTTAGTACAAGTTAGTATTAAATACTTATAATTGCTTCTTTCTGAACAAGTGTGTGTTTTTGTTCTTTTTTTTGTTTTTGTTTTGTTTTTTCCTTAATGGATACCACAAAGATGTAATTTGTAAGTCTTTCTGATTTTTATGTAATAGGAAGTAGTAGCTAACTGCTTCTTAAAAGTACATCTCCATATGCTTAAATCAAGTGTGGGGGTGGGAGAGATGCGAGGTTGTGCAGAATTCCTGTTCAGGTAGTTGTTCTATGTCCAGGGTCTGTCCCTGCAGTGTGGATCTGATGAAGAGGGATGAAAAGACTGCAGGAAATGCTCCTTCTTCACTTAGGGTTTGCTAACATTGGATTTTCTTTGTCTGAAACTCAAACTCTTTCTGGAATTTAACATAACTGTTTTCCCTTTACCAGACGCTTTTAATGACTAGTGTATCATTCTGGAGATAAAGGTTCTGGCTGTGTTTGATTTATTTGTGCAACTCAGTGTTTTCATTCTGTTGGCATTAGTCAGGAGTCTAATACTGCAGAAATCCATAGTTAAATCTCTAAATATATCACTCGCTTAGGTGACTTCATTGACTTACAGTTTGAACACTGAAAAATCAATGGGTGGGAAGTGGAAAGCTTTCAACAATGAACCCTTTTATAAGACTAGGTACAACTTTTTTTTTTTTTCCTTGAATGCTATTTATCTTTTGCTAGATTTTTTAATGAAAAGAGATCGGTAATGTCTGAAAATGAATGACCTCTTGCATATGACTTGGAAGACTAAAATTTAGTCTGAGATCTAGTTCCTTGGATTAGCTTACTAGGTAACAGCTTGAATAGCAGTTTACCAACTCAAGAGAATCGGACAAGATGAAATAGGTTCTTTAAAACTTACATTTGGTAGAAACAAATGCAGTCTGGTTTAAGACCATGATTATTATCCAGCCATCATATTAATTTACACTTCTCTAATAAAATGGATGTTTGAATGTGCTGGAGCATCAGTTTTAGTCGAAATGAGACATACCTGCAGTTTAGTGAACTCGGTGTAGGAATAGAACTGCTTTCTCCAGTGGATTTCTTCTCTTGAAAGAGGGTGGTCTAAAATGCTGAGTTCAGAACATAGTTACGACTAAGTTCGTAGGTCTGCAACAGATGTGCATTAAGTCTTAAGTAGGCAGTGACCATGTGTAGTCCTGTATTTTAATACAGAAGGAAGAACAGTGTGGAGACTTTGCACTGTAGTGTAGCACAGACTTCATTGTGTGATGGTACTCTCATCCTGGAGATGAGAAGACAAAAGCTAAAATGGAATTGAGATTGAATGTCACTGTTAAGATGGAGTGGTGGTAGCTACTTTTCAAATTATGTTTAATGGTATGGGTAGGTGATAGCTTGATTTATGCAGATCTTGTTAGATATTTTTATTAGCAATCTTAGCTCTTGGAAGTAGAAACAAACTGTTATAATCTATCTAGTTTTTTTTTTTTAACTGATGCTCTGCATTTGTAGTCTAAATGCAGCTCTTGTGTGTTGTGTTTTTGGGGTTGTTTGTTTTTCTTCCCTCTCCTGTAATGTATGTTAAGTTTTACAAAAGATTGATGCACCAGTTAGACAACTGTCACGTCATTTTGGTAGAAAGTTGCATTGTAATGGCAGTCTTCAGTGAAAAATGGTTGATCTGCCACTACCTTAGTGGATCCAGATACAAGTTCAGATCTCTGAGTGTAATTTTATGTTGCTGCTTAGGGTGTACCTTTAAGGGTGATGTATTTCCGCACTACTGTGAGTCACATGAATAATATGATTCTTCACAAGGAAGTGGGAGCTAGCTTTGAAAAACATAAGTTAATTGCTGAAGAAGACTTCTTGAGAGGACTTGAGGCTTAACGTGCTTGTGAATGAACTAACGATTGCTTTGTTTTCAGGTGCCTTAGCTGGACCAATTGTTGATCCACATGTGATGGCAGTTTGGGGCAAGAAAGTTGCACTGAAATGCATAATTGATGTAAATGAAACGATTACACAAGTTTCTTGGGAGAAGATGTATGGTAAAAGTGCACGGACTATTGCTGTTCATCATCCTGAATATGGAATTTCTATTCAAGGAGAATACCAAGGAAGAGCAGCATTTAAAAATTACTCGCTTACTGATGCAACACTCATCGTAAAAAATGTAAGCTTTTCGGATGCAGGAGAATATATTTGCAAGGCAGCTACCTTTCCCCTTGGAAATGCACAGTCATCAACAATTGTAACAGTACTAGGTAAGTCAACTTTTTCACAAAAAGATTAGATGAATAGCACAAACTTATTAATGAAATTCTGCAAATTTATTAATGCATTTTACTCTTTAACCTTTACTTTTTACTACTTTAGTGTGAAGATGAATTTACCAGTCTTTGATAGCAGCCTTATTGATGCCCTTTCTTCAGTGAGGAGACTTGTTTAGTGTCTTCTTTCTTTGGAACTTGCTCCTTGATTATCCTGCACTTAAAAAAAAAACCACACACTTTAGGCATTATACTCATCTAAGTATTTTGGACACAGTTTTAAAATTCGGACCTGGCAATGCAGATACTAGAGATGCATGTGTGTGTGCAGAGAAGCTGCTAAAGATATCATTAGTCACCACCTTGTCAATGTTTCCTGATAATTATATTGTTAATACAATAACTTTAGTTGCTTCAGGCTAGCTATATGAATTGCTATCCGCACAGTATGAGTGTAAAATAAGGCTATGCAGTGCACTAGTGAGAACTTGAGAAGAAAAAGGAGGGAATTTAAGCCCTCTGGTTATGAATAGTCCAAATAGGAAGTTTACATAAATTAAGCTTCTTATTTGAAGATAGGCAAAACCTTAAACTGGCTGAGTTATGCTTTGTTATGGTGAAATGCTGCCGTAAAGGACTAATGACTCACAAATAGACTCAGTAGTGCAGTCTGAAGTAAAATGATTATTTTCTTGAAACTTTAAAACCTGTTGAGTTGTCCATTCTTTAAGAATAATTATAGCTCAATATAAATAAGTTACTTCTATCCTCTATGAGTGGTCAGGTAGCATTTTATTCAGCTGAGGTGGCCTTAGTCACTCTGTTTTTGTTAATAAATGTGTGTTTTAGGTTTTGGGTTTTTGCTCTCTTCTCTTTCCTGAATAATAGAATACCATTAAGCTTAAATCATATGGCTGGGCATGATACCATGTAAACCAAATTTCACCACAAGGTGGGGCAAAATAAACACCTCAGAGCAAATTACTCCAATTTGAAGCAAGCTCTCCCCAAGAAGTTCCATGTGATACATAGAAAAGGAAGGGTCATAAGGCTTCATACTACCTACACTGCAAATGGTGTTATATCTGTAACACTGCTGAATTCAGATCTCAGCTGCTGTGATTTACTGAGATTAACATGAAATGAGAGGCTTGGTTTTACTGCCTTTTTTTCGGATCCTAGTAGTAGTTGCATCTGTCATACTCCTGGTTTTAGAGTTTTGCAGAACCTGAGAAAGCCACACACAATGTGAAAAAGTATGGCCTGTGTTTCATCAGTCACACAGGAAAATATGGAGGGGCTACAGCTTGTTTAGGGACTTGCATGTGATCAGAAACTACAGTTGTAATAGAGAAGTATTTGTTGGTTATACACTAGTCTTGAGTTTTTTTTGGAGTAGATGATGGTTGTCAGTGATCAGCAGTCAGCTTCTGAATTGCAACACCTAGTTAATACTTACAAATGCATGGCTTCCACCTGTTTCCCCAACCCCCAAAATAGAAACCAACTTTTATATTTGAGGGGAATATTTCTGGTCCAAAAGATTAGCTGTAGTTCTGATGAGGGGATGAGGAGTAGGGAGAAAGGTGCTGTTTAAACTTCTCTTCTTTCAAGTCATTCATCCTGTTACATCATTCTGTTCCTTAGGTTTGTTTTCCAAGTACTATTTGCCTTCCACTCCTAGTTAGCCATTTCTTGACTTGCATGTAGGAGGGAGTAGGTCCTAACCCACTGGGATAGGACTGTGTCTGACTTAGATGCTTCCTGTGGCCTCAGAGTATTTTCCTTTTTTAAAAAAAAAAAAAAAGGTCCTGTATACTTTTCTGCTCAAGTATAGATGTCAGTAAGTCAGCTTTTCAAAACAGGTATATTAGTGAATAAATTGTGAGCTTTACAGGTCTAAGCTCAGCAAACCACAAGCTAAGCTCCATCTTAAGCATGGAGTGTTTTCTTTCAAAATGTAAAACCTGTTGTAACTTCAAATCAACTTTATTCTGTTTGTGTTCTCCTACTGTTCTAAAAATCTCTCCTGTCAGTGAGGAGAAATTCATGTCCAGGAGCTGGAACTGATGGTTTCTATTTCCAGCAGTGCTGCATTTGTGCCCCACTCCTGTTAGTGAGGGTGTGGTTTGCTCTCTGGCTGTACTAGGCATACTTCATCCTGAAGGTGCTTTTGCACTGTGAGGCAGAGACCCTGAAGACAAGCACTGGGAGAACACAACTGCAGGATAAAATATTTCATCTGATGCAGCATCTTAATTGCTTAAGGGCCTGTTTAGAAAGTCTCCCTTAAGTTATTTAAGCTTTGTAGACCTACTGCATTGGTTGCCTGTCCTTACTCCCAGTTTGTTTGACTTGCTGCTTTATGATATCTTAAGGAAAAAGGAATTTTTTTGTAGAAGAGGTTATATCATGTAAAAACTGGAAATCCTTTTAGGGACAAACTGGTGTATTGGCTTTATCTAACACTACGGTTCTTTAGGCTTTTCTAGTATGTGTAGGGGGTGGAAATGTCAAGACTTGTATGCCAAGCTTCTTTGCTTGGGGCTCTTTGTCTTTCTGAAGACAGCAACATAAACCAGCCAAAGGTATTTGAAGGTAGAAGAAATGATGTATGGTGGAGTAGCTTGCCGAAATTACATACTTGGCCTAACTACCCTCTCAAATGCTTGTAGTATTTCCAAATGTCATTTAGTTTAACTGCTGCTGACTTACCAAGCTGATGTGTTAGCATGCATGCTGATAAAGTAGGTCTTGTTCCTGTTTATGACAACTCTTACCAGTATCATGTGGTATTTAGCCTGTTGATGGCAGGGGAAGCTTCACAAAAAGTTGACAGATAAAGATCTGCTCAGCCTGAATAGATCCCGGAGATGCTAATATAGAAATTCTTAAAGTAAGAAGTTAAGGGAAGGCGCATGTTCAACAGCATAGAAAATAGATCCTGTCAGTCAATTTAGATGAAGTACTTGCATTTGAAAAATACTAGTTGGTGTAATGTGCATGTGCTTCTGAAGTAATGTGATAGTAATGAGTTACATAAGTGAAATGACTAGTGTGTGGTGAGGAAGCCAGTAATAGAGGATTCATTTAGTGGCCTGGAAAAGTTGTTTGTTTGTTTGTTGTGTTTTTTTTTTTTTTTTCAGAAGTGTGAGGTCATGGCTTTGAGGGGGAGGGACAAACTAAAAAAGTAGAAAATTCTGTTTTGGGGGAAGGTTATTCAAGGATATGTCAGTTAAGATGAAGAAAGGGCTGACAAGTCCCAGTGTCATGCTGTGGTGGGTTATCTAGTGGATTTAATGGTGAATAGAAATTAGCACTGTTTATGTTGTAATCATGCCAGATCCCTCCAGCCTTCCTGTGCACAGTGGTAGAAGAAAATGTAAGCTAACTAGTTCTGTGGGGTGTTGTTGTTTGTTTGTTTGCTTGTTTTAATGATGAAAGCTGGAGACAGAAGCTTTTTGAGACCGAGGAACTTAAGACTGTTCCTGGATAGTTTGTTTTCCTTCTCTAAAGGACAATAAGAGGTCTCAGACAGAGAATCACAGAATGGTTTGTGCTGGAAGGGACCTCTGGAGATCATCTAGTCCATCCTTCTACTCAAGCAGGGTCACGTAGAGCAGACTGCCCAGAACCATGTCCAGATGGCTTTGGAATATCTCCAAGGAAAGAGACTCTACCACCTTCCCTGGGCAACCTATCGTGGTGTCATCTTCCCAGTAAAGAAGTTCTCCTTGTAAATATAATGTAAAGCAGGAGTCAAAAGGCTTACATTAAGCAGTGAAATAGTGGTCATGAATCAGTAAATGAAGTAGCGTGGATGTATAAGATAGGGTGTTTTATTCGCACATTTCAGAGGAGTTGAGCAAGCCTGAAGCAACTTCATAGCACGAATTACCTTCAAGTTATACGAAGAAGTGACAATTCAAGTATGAGAGCTGAACTCGTAGCTAACTATTCTGGGAAAGTCTCACCTATGTCCACTAATCTTTAAATAGCCTATACCCATTCCTATCTACTCTGTTGATTTAGAAAAAAAAATGCCACTGACCTTTAACTCATGCGTTGTGGAAGCAAGTCCCCTGTATGTCTGCATCTTTGTAAGATTTATTTTCCCCACCCCCCTGCCCCAGGCTAGGGACTTGTCCCCAGTGTGTGATATGTTGTGTGGTGGTGTGTGTGTGTGTTTTGTTTTTTTTTTTTTTTTCCCCTCTTTCACCTTACCTGCATAGAGTATAATGTTACTACTGAATGGCTGAAGCAGCTTTTCTAGCACTTGGAAGTTACACAGCCACCCTCCTGCCTTTTTTTTTTTTTTTTTTTTTTTTTCTTTTTTCTTTTAAAGTAGGGTAATTTGTTCCGAATAGAAAAAGTAACTGTTTTCTGATAGGAGAGGTGAGATTAGGAGGTGCCATTATACACTTGACTCTGAAGAGTCATTCAAGTGGTGCTTGAGTCAGATTAAGATAATAAATGACTATAAAACCTGTAGAATGAGTAGCTGGATTTCAGTTCAGCTGCTGGAATAAAGTGACCGTGAAGGAAAGACAATAGATATGACGGAGGACATTCCAACAGAACTTGCTTTGTGTCTTCATTAGCTATTTGGCCTTCCTATTAGGTGGTTTATAGTTCAGGAATCATGGCTTACAAGAGCATGCAATAGTGAAGGCCTAGCCATTTGTGAAGTAGAGCTTCAATTGAACTCCAGAAACACTTTGGACCTGGAATAAGGACACTTTAGCAAGTAGGCTTTGAATAGCTGAACTCTTGTCTTTCTGAATTGCTCAATCACACCAATTTCAGATGGAACTTGAGAAAATGCACATTTTTTCCTCATGCTTATAATTTTCAGAGAAGCCGAGCTTGTTTTTTAAATGAGCCTACATCCTGTTTTCTGGCTAGTGTAATTTAATGATAGTTGAAGGAAATTGTTATAACAAGCGAAGTAAATGAAGGAGCACGTTGAGTAGTCTGCTGTGGATCTGGAGATCTCTGCTCATCCTGACTTGTATATGCTCCCAAGAATAGATTGAGCAGCAGATATGGAGATATATATTCAATTTCATGTTGAGGAAACTTCAAAGGAACAGGGATATGAGTTTCAGTTTTGATTTGGAGAAGCTAGTGCTAGCTGCTGGGTAATTGATCTCTCTGTGCTGGAGGTCCTGTGGAAAAGGCATTTATTTCTTCAGGAATAAATATTGTGCCCACCAATTTCCTATACCTCTGCTTCAAAAAGCAGCTGTTAAAGGATGCTTGGATTTGTGATTATTGAGAGCTGGTCCACTGAAGAAGACTCTAAAATGCTATGCAATCAGAGGACTATGATTGTCTAATTGGATCAGAAGATAAGGATTTTTGTGAGTCTAGTATGTTTCTGGGGAAACCTCTGCTCTAGTATTGAGGACAAAAACGGGACATCCTAGAAAGGAAAGTCTTAGTATCAGAACCAGCAAATGGTTTCCTCTGACATAAGCTGCAACTGGTGAAGGGACTATTACATTCTGAAACTGACTTAAATAGTGTTTTTCTGTTTTTGTTTTTTAAAGTTTTTCTGAGTACTACTCTGAATGGTAGAGTTACACATCAGGAGCTCTTACTTGTTTGTCTGCTTGCCAGTCCTCTGAACTTTTGGGTGAGGAATGGGCTTATAAGGAAGTTGGGTCTTTCTAGTTGAGGTCTTACTCGAGTCTTTAGAATGGTGTTGGGTTGATTTTTTTTTTTTTTCACTTTTGTAGATGATAGCAGAGAGCGCTTATGTTCTTGAAATCGTCATAGCTGTCATGACTAATGCTGTGGAGCATGCCTCTCTGACTTAAAAATGTTCGTGCTTAATTTTTGACTTGTATCCAGGCTTGACCTTAGACAATAAATGCCCTGGTGCCTTTTTTCCCAGTTAAAACTTAACATTAGGAAAAAAAAAATAGTAATAGGACATACTGGAATTCAAGTTTTTCTTCAAAATATGGTATTGTGATTATTCTGGTCTGGTGCTTGGAATTAAGTGCCTTGAAGAAATGGTTTTATTGCTCTTTTTTGACACTAGTTAACACTGCTGTAGTTAAGGCTATGACTCATGTCTGTTGAATATTGATGGCAAATTCTAATATTCACAAAATACAACAGTCTTGGTGCATAAACTGTTGAAGAGCCTGCTTTGCTAGATTGCTGTCTACTACAGATGCATCTTATAGTAGCAGTTAGCGTAAAGAAAGCTTTTTCGGAGATATGCTGGTTTTTTGTTTACTGTGTGACTTTATTTAAAAATATTCTTTAGTCTGGTTTCTGGTGTCATTTTTTTCCCTTGCTGCCTTTGTGTGCCTACTCAGCCCTTGTCCCCCATCAGTTGTGGAGGGTACTTGGTATAATAGTGGTACTTGGTATAACAGGAGGCTACTTCGTAAGTACGAGAGGATACGTGAAATTTCTTTGGACTATACAATACCTCAAAGCTGGAAGGAGAAAGGAAAGCCTATTTACTATCCTTTTGACAGAAAAAGCTGTACAGACTTCAGTGCTTTTGTTTGTTTTCTACCTGCTGCATCAGTTGTGTAATGCCCTACTTCTCCAGATAGTAAATAGTCTGAGTAATGAAAGTATGAGGATTAGAAAACTTGATTGAAAGGAATGGCTTAAAAAAAAAAAAGTTTCAGATAGGTATTAGCAAAATTAACAGAAAGCTGGTTTGCTAACTGGTATGGTGGAGACAATGAGGGGCAGTGTTCTTTGAAGGGAAGGTGTCACTTTGCTGGTCAAATATCTTCAAGATGTCTAGTAGCAAACTGAATTCAAAATATGTATCAATTTGATAAAGGACTTTTCCCTAAAGGCTGTGACCACTTCAGCACCGAAAAGACTTTTGTAAAAATAAGGTTGACTGAATATTTTCAGTTCTTCCTTAGATATACTACATGAACACAATGTCATTGACTATGTAACAGGTAGTTATCTCAAAGCATTTGTATTTTACTTTGACCTAAAACATGTCATATGTTTTTAGGCTAATGTTCACTTGAGTCATGTCAAGAGTTTCACATGAGTTGTCATGAAGTGCATAGTGACTTGGGAAGCTGCAAACATGCATTGAACCCACACTTGAATGTGAAATGCAATACAAGCAAAAATGTTGAGAATGTGTTCGCATGTATACATGTGTATATATATGTGCATGATGTTTTTGTGCAGGTTAATAAGCAATTCCTGATTGGGGTGCTTTCAGCTTGGCATCAGTTGGCATTGCTGCATTGCTCAACTGAAGCTTAAACTTAGCATCTGCTGCTAGCTTTGAAATGTTACAAACTAAATGTTTTAAATATAACACTTAGTGGAATCCAAGCCCTTTTTTAAAAACAGTATCATTTCAACTTAGTATCTTAAGCTACCTGTTTTGTCAGACACTGCAACTGGAACAGTGTAGTTGGTATTTTGAACCTAACTGTCTGGGGATTCCTTGTTGGTGTGTTAAATGTGAACAACATTAGGCTTTAATTAGTGGACAGAAGTGAACAGTGTTATCAGGTGAAAGCACTTTTGTTATCACCCTTGATATAAGCTTGATCTTTTGCAAATTATTTTTTTTCATTGTTTTAAATAGTAATAGTTTGGAGGATATGGATTTTTTGGTTAAAATCTACATTTCTTCTTCCTTTCCTCCTCTCCAATAGTTGAACCTGTTGTGAGCTTAACAAAAGGATCAAATCCTCTGATAGATGGTGCAAATCAGACAGTAGCAGCAATTTGTACAGCAGCCGTTGGAAAACCTGCTGCAGAGATTGACTGGGAAGGAGGTCTTGGTGAAATGGAATCCAGCTCTACTTTGTTTCCCAATGAAACAGTGACAGTTGTAAGTCAGTACATCATTGTCCCGACAAGGTTTGCAAGAGGAAGACGTATAACATGTGTTGTGAGGCACCCGGCTTTGGAAAAGGAGATAAGATATTCTCAAGTGTTGGACATACAGTGTAAGTATTCTGTAAGGTAGCTTCTACCCATTACATATTTGAACCACACTGTTTACTGGATATAGCCTTCATGGAATGAGATGGCCACATACTGTTTCTGGGGAATGGAAGGAAAATAAAACTGTATAAAAAGCATGTAAGAGGCTATTCAGAAAGAGAAACAAGGGACTGTGCATTTAATGTTAAATACAATCATCTAATCACCAAGTTAGAATACTGTTAACATTGCTTTTTATTTTAGGAATTGTCTCTGGGTAAACTTACTCATGTTTGTGTTTAGTTTTGTGAGTTTACAGGCAAAATAACACGCTCAATTGATATGTAAACTGTTTACAGTGCCTTAAATTGTCAGCTGATGTTCCTTTGAAACAATTTCAGCAGTATTAAAGAAGAATTCTAATTAAGATTCATGTTTATGAAAACTATCCCTCAGATATTTTCAAGTTGTTCTTCAAATTAGTTTTTCACACTGTAATTTCCATAAGGTAATGGAAGTACAATATATACATACACACAATGGTAATCTGATCCTAAGTACCCTGATTCTAATGTAGTTGAAACCTGTACAGTTACTCCAGGCTTGTCTAACAAGTTTGTGGCTTTACAGTGCATCAGTTAGATGGCTTGTAAGTATGCTTATCTAAAATGACTTAATACAAATAAGCATTAGGCATGTGATCATTTTAGTTAATGGGTATGCAACCAAAATGAGTGGTTGTCAAGTGTTTCCTTTGATACCTATCTTAGCTGTGTGCAGCTTTAAAGTGCCCTGAATCTTGGAAGTCTATGAATCTTTTTGCTCAGGCAAGGTTGTCTTGGAATTTGCTGCACAACTGTGTAGTCAGCAGCAGAACGGCAAATGAGAAGCAGAGGTTTTATGTCCAAATCTTTGATTCTCAAGTCATCTCTCATGTTTCCCTTAAGCTTAGAACTTGTATGGCAACTCTCATTGTTCCTCTGCAGTAAGAGGTTATACAGAATCATAGTGGTTTTTGTGTGTTATGTTGTTTCTGAAAATTTGGCTAAATTTCTCCCACATACCTGAAGTAGGTGTCTTTTTAGGTCTGTGACAACAAAGTCTCACTTGGATAGCAATTTATAGTTCTTCTTAATTATTATAAATTTGCAACCTGCATTGATGACCGCTTAATTATTTGGCTTCTCTGAAACACTATTTCTGATCCTCTGCTGTACCTGGTTAGTGAGAAATAGCTCTACCTTACCTTCTCTATTTCAAAAGGGCATTAAACCAATCTTCTGAAGGCTTTCTTTTTTTCCAAGTGAAGTATGTGTGCTGTTGAAAATAACTTATGTAATCTACTGCTGTATGTTTTGCTATAGCTTAGAACTCTGTTTTGATTTGTGGGTCATTTTAAGAAATGAGACAAATGCAGTCTGCTGCAATGTTAAGCTGACTGTTAAACAGTTGGTTTAAAGAAAATATTGTGATTATTGATAGATGAAATCTTTTCTTGGTAGATGCCCCAGAAGTTTCTGTAACTGGCTATGATGGAAACTGGTTCATTGGAAGAGAAAATGTTCAACTCAGATGTAATGCTGATGCAAATCCTTTACCTATGGAACTTACGTGGACCAGGTAAATATTTATAAAAAGGGGCTTGGCACTTGATTCCAGTGCTGTGAATGGTATCTCTTTGTTTACAGAATACCTACACAAGGAGTGCATGACTTGTGTTGGCTGGTAGTGATGCAATTCAGGCTTTTACACAAAGGAGGAAACAAGCGTGTGTGTGAATGTGTGTGAATGTGGGTGGGTGGAAAAACTTGAAATGTGCAAGTCCGAACACTTTGCCATTATTTTTAGAATAAAATCATTTTAGTTATTAATCTTGTTCAGCTTAAATGTTACAATAGATTATGCAAAGCGCAATTAATCTAGTAGGGATCCAACAGTTCTTCAGTTCTGTTTTATTATTATTTGAAAGTTGGCTGTGAAGACTATTTGATATCTACTTTCTCAGATTTGGAATCTAAAGTTGAGGTGGCAAATACTATGAAGTGATTAAGGACGTTAAGTTTCCTTAAGATTGAGTCTTTTTTTCCCCCAAGAGCCCTCAAGTAGTTACCAAGACAGATAAATGCTGTGCTTTGCTTGCCTGATGGAAACGTTAGTTTGACTATATGTGAGGGGGAAACAGGCAGTATTTCTTGCGTAACAGCTGTGTGTTATGAAGAGATGGACTGGATGGTTCTACTTTGTGATTTATTGCTTTGCTTTTGCAATGTATTTTTGGAGAGGGAGACAAAAGTGAACATAGATCCAAAGTCTATTTCATGAAAGGGAAAAGAGTGAAATAAGCAGCTGCTTTAAATAGATTTAGTGCCCGTTGAAAGCAAGAAAATAATTTTCAGAAGGATAACGTAAATGTAGTTCTGTTAGAATGCTTCTGTGAATAAAGTCATGGGAATATTTACTGTTCTGAGTCTGCATTGTATTCCTTTCCAATGGCAGATGTAACTTAGTGTATAGGGACATTAGTCATAATGTGCTTTGAAGCTGCCATAAGATTGGAGTTGCCTGATTGCAGTTATGCTAGCATTTTGTTTTTCTGTTAATCTACCTTGGTCCTAAAAGTAACCCTTCAAACCTTGAGCCAGTATTGCAGCTAGCTGTAGTCAGAATGGTATGACTTTGTACAATGGATTTATTAGCCGTGAGGCATGGTAGGCTGCCATCCCCACGTCATGCTTAATTTAAACTTAGTGTGGCAAGAGGGCAACACAGAGCATTCTATACTGAAAAGGGCATGCCAGGCTCTCAAGAGTAATACAGCTTGTTGCTTTAGATTAACTAAGTTCTCAGTTGTCAGACTTGAACTTGAGATGCATATAAGAACTAATCAATAAAACATATTTCTCATTTTATCAGAAATAGCTCATTTAAATGTGAAGGACTTGTATGTGGTACAAAGGCTGCTACCAGGCTTCCTGGCATTGAAATTGAAACAGGTTTGAAGAAAAACTTAATTTTGTACAGTAAAATTACCTTTTGCTTTCCTAAACAGTCTAAACAGCTGTAGAGCTACTGAGAGAAGACCCTTTGGAGGCTGGGAAATATCGATGTGCAATAAAACTTAACACGCTTAAGCAACCTGTATCAAACTTGCTTGGTATCTTTTAAACTATAATAGAATCTTGGAACTGTCAACCCAAAACTTTATTCCTTAGAAGCAAGGATAACTATTGCTAGGATTAGGAAAAAAAAGCTTTCCTAATAAATATGTGTAATATTATGCGAAAAATTTAGTATTGGAGTGCTCAAAATTTTGCAGTATTTTGTACTTACTAGATATACCTAATATGAGAGTCTTTCATTTCAATTATTATTAAGTTTGTTCAGCAGAAGCAACTCTGGGCAGCAATTATTAGCAAAGTAATTGAAGTTTTTAAACGCAGGTGGATTGCTGGCTTTAGCATGAGGATTTATGGAAAAGTGTTTGTTAGAAGCTTTATATGTTATAGACGAGTACTCATCTGCAACCCATGTCAACAGCATAGATTGTTCATAACACTTGTACCTACTTCAAGTAGGAACATCTTTCTGAGCCTACACTGTTCAGAGTTTATATATTCAATTTTACTTTTTTTTTTTTTTTCTATTTAAGAATATGATTGAAAGTGTCTCAGGAGGCTCTTGTTTAATTATTACTTAAAAAATCTTGGATTATTCCAGGATACTGAAATCAGGTTATCAAGTGTTTGAGTTAATACCTAACAGCTGTTTGCCTAGCAGCCAAATAAGATGCAGCAGAGCAGTATAATTATGTAACTTGGTAAGTGCCCAAGGGGGAGTAAGGTGCCTAAGAATCTGAGATAAAATGGTTTATCAAATGGTCAAATTTAGGATTGAAGAGTGATTTAGCAGAAGTAGAAGCTGAAGTTGCATGAGTGAGTGAAACTGGAGTCTGCCGTGATGCAATGATAGTACCCGTGCAGGCGTCCTGATGGGTATTTTGCATTTGGCAGCTCTGTTAAAGCAGTCCTGACACCTCTGTCCCTTCCCTTTTCTCTATTTTGCTTGCACAGTTGTTCTACAGTCACATGCAGCATGCTTCAGGGGAATGAGATGCTGGGACCATTCGCTTTATTCTAAGCAACAAATTCAGTTATGTTTCTACATTTTGGAAGTGAAAGTGGTCCAGGGTGAAGAGGCGGACTGGGAGGGAAGAATCTGTTTGAACACTTGCAGAGGAAATGCTAGTGGAAATGCTAGTCCAGTTGGGTCCATAATGGTGAAAATGTTATCACGATAACTCAACCGGCTAGATAATACCAATGGTGGTAGAAAGATTTTGTACCGTTACTGTTGATTTCTACAGTTCAAGCTGGGTAGTTATTTTGAACTCTTCAATATTTTCAAATATTTATTTTCTATTTACCTCCCTAGTGCCAGTAATTTTTGTGCTGCAGATCAGAGCCAAATCCCTTAAGTTAAAGAACTAAATGTTCAGGTAGATATTGAAAATACTCCATCAGAGTTTTTTTGAGAATATTAATAAAAAGCTTGTCAAAAGTTCATCTCTAGATTGCTGCAAATATTACTTTCTATAAGATACATTTATGTTTTAGTCTTGAAGATGCCTACTTAAAATATATTCGTTTTATTGTAGACTGGATGGGCAATGGCCTGAAGGATTGCTCTCTGTCAACAACACTCTGCAGTTCACCAGCCCATTGACTTACAACTACACTGGAACTTACATCTGTAAGGTGACCAATTCCCTTGGTCAGAGAAGTGATCAGAAGACTATTTACATATTGGGTAAGTTTACTGCTTGGCAAAGACAATATGTTACCTCAAACTGTTTTGTCAACAATTGAACAAGCAAACAGAGCTGCTTGATATATTAAATACTTTAGTTTAATACTGAAGTAGGAAGTTCAGAGCTACAGTAAAAGTTGGAATTAAACTGACTCTTCAATAACAGCAATGTATAATGGAAATTGTTAAGCCTGAAGTTTTTCCCTAGTGCTACTCATTACTCTTGGTAGGTTAACTTGAACTTCCTGTTTGTTTGTTTGTTTGTGTTTGTGTCTGTGTGCTGTCCAAAAATATCGTTATGTCACTTTAGCCTAATGCACTTAATGTTTTACTATGGCAACTTCTTTGCAAGGACTTTTAAAAGTTTACTCAGAGTACTGTGACTTAGAGTGTATGTGGGTAGGCATTCTGCTTAGAAAATGCATGAGTAGAACCATAGGTAATTTCTTAGTACAAATATAGAAATTAAATATGAATACTTAAAAGAATGGGAGCTTAAGACTTAAACTATGGATAGAGGGTGTTTGAAGCCACATGTATCTTGGTTATCATGCTTCTTAGTTAACAGCAGTTCTAGAGCAGGACGTGTCCTTTCAAACTGTCGGTCTAACTACATACACTATGAGCCGTTGTGAAAATGAATAGGCTTCAATTAACTGGCTAGCTCATTGGCTAGTTCAATGGAAACTTAAAATTACTTCAAGATAGTGGAACTATTTGTAAATAAGGCTAATACTTAATTTTATCTATTAGATAGACTAGACTTAAGTTCTGTGGTTGATAGTGAGAGTCGCATCTGAGAAATTAAATATTTGGTTTCAGTGATTCCTGTATGTGTAAACTCATGACTGTTTATGAAACTTAAAACAATTTAAGACTATCGCTTTTTAAGAAGTCTTAAGTAATACAAGGATGAAAAAGACATCACTAAATATGATTAAATAACCTTCTGGAATGTAATGTTCAAAATCACTTAAACTATTGCTAGTTTCTTTGAGTACGTCTCTGTTCTTAGCCCCCTTATTCAACCTATAAGTGGAGGACCATCATCAAAAGTCCATTTCACAAGTTTTTGATTCTGTAAATATGATCAGCAATCAAAACTTGTACTTTTTCCCATGCATGAAAATGAATATACCTGTCTGTACATACTCATCCCTAAAATTACAATTGCAAGAAAGTCAGGTCATGTTATTTATGCAGAACCAGTCGATCTTGGAATTATAGTTATGGTGACTTCTTGTCTTACAGACTATGGGAAAGTTGTGTTGGAGCTGAAGTGTCATTTTTATTTACAGGAAAAATTCTTGAGATGATCATAAAGGTATTTCACATAGTTATCAGGCTGACAGGTTCTCATTGTCATGGCTGTGGCTTTCTGGCTGTTATCTGCTAGTGCTCAATAAAACAGGAATTTGTCTGAAGCTGTACACAGTAATTGGAGCTTTCGAAAGCTGTCAGTCTTGTAAATGAATTCCTATAGTCACTACTGCTGCATGCGGAAGGCTGATCACTAATTTCAGTCTACCCTCAGTGTGGGAGAGTGGGAGGATAGGGGATCTCCTGTTGATCCAAGAGACGACTGCCTTGCTGACAGCAACAATCCCCAAAAGAGACCTACTGTGGTTGTTTTTCTTGGGCCTTGCTCTTCTTTGAATACATGATTGTTGACACTCTTCACTGAATCTCATCCATATGCCAGAATAAGATACTAACCGAAATGTAGACTATTTGCCAAGGAGGAACTCATTCAAAATCTGAAGCAGAACAACTTTTTTTTTCCCCCAAAAAATTGTTTTCCAAGTTCTCTCAATCTTTGCCTGAAGAAATGTTATGATGCATCCCATTTCAGATTAAATGGCCTTTGTATTTGAAAGTTTAGGTAGATTTGGAATCCTTTAAGACTCAGAAAACACAGCTGAAGCATCTTCAATCTGCTTGTAATGAATTTCAACTTAACCAGTACAGATGTGTGGCATTCAGGCAGCATTTTTATTTATTCTAGCAAAATATGCAGTGAGGCACATTGGCCAAATAATTAGGGAGGACAGGGAGTGAAGAGTCAACCAATAGCTAAGCTGGACTGTCCTTTTCTTCTATTTCTATAGGCCTCACCACTTGAGGGGAAAAGTACAAGTGCTGAACTGTTGTTTCTGCCTGTTGCTTGTGTGTGTATGTTATTTGTATTTTGTTTTTTCTTAAGTTGGGCGTAACTCTTTTCAGACCACCATGTTTTCATCTAAGGCTCATGACTAGCTTCCTACAAAGCATTAACCAATGGTCAGAGAAGACACTACTGTATGTGGTGATATTTTCATCTTGCAATACGTAGATTAGTGAGCAGTAGAGAACTGTGGATATCTGAGGCTCAAAACTTGATTTAGGATTAATTCCATATGACTGGAGAAGAGCTCCTAACTCTTATGTCTGGAACATAGAAAAGGGTCCATAGTTTATCCTTGCTGTGGAAAGATGCTAAATCCCCATTAAGAACAGTTGGTATAGCTGAAGAAGATTGGTTAAAGACTCAGCATTGGATAGAAAGTGGTGATGGCATATAGCAAGTTTCTAGCTCCATTGCCAAAGAGATTGTATTTAGTATTTTTTTGACTTGCTCCAGTTGCTCCTGAAATAAGGTTTTCTGAAGGGTCTTCAGTATTTTAGCTAAGAACGTATAGTTTGATGAAACTTGGTATGGTTTTTCTGATCACAACAGAGACAACCTTATTTTTGAAGTCCTGTTAAGTCTCATGGTCTGTAAAGATGATCCTTTTAATCCAGAAAGGGTACTTTACTCTTCACTTAACTTTCATTTATGTCTGACAAACTTAGGTATATCAAAATACCTTTCCCTCCAAGACTTAAATTTCCATAATCCTTAAGTGACAACCTTATTTGTGAGAGATGTATGGCAGTATTCAGGTTTTTCCTCACTATGGAGTTGGTTACTTCACTTCTCAAAAGAATTCGTATTGAACTAAATTAGGAATGGTTTGTAAGCGAAATTTATTTCATTCTCTAGACTTACGTGGTCGCTTATGTAAAATAATGTGCTGCTTCATTTCAAGGTAAGGCTTAACAGAAGTTGTTGGATATGTTGAAGATACTGGTCTGGTACTAAGGAGTGACCATCCATCTCTGACTCTTCAACTTCTGTTGGCTTTGAATTGCAGGAGGAGAGATGATGGGCTCTGGGTGCTTGAACAAGGGTGAACTGCAAGTGGATTCAGCGGGAGAGATGCAGTGTTTGGGGGGTATGAGAAGAGTCAATGCACATAACTAGAATATATAACAAATATATCTAAGCTTACCTTATGCAGGTAAGCTTTTAGAATTAAGTTGTTTGCATTGCAAGAGCTGTGAAAATTGGATGAAGAGGAGTCATTTAAGGGAAGCTTAAAAATACCAGACCCAAGTAGGGCAAAGCCACTTTTGTAAGCTGATACCAGCTTTCATGGAAACGTCTGGGAAATATATAATACTGGGGAAGCTAAGCATGCTGTACAGTGGCCATGGTGCTCTTTGAGAAGATGTTAGTGCATAACTTAAAGCAAAGAACAAATCTTGCTTTTATTGGTAGAAGACTAATAAGGAAGATAGGTTTTTAAACAAACTGGGAAAGCTGAATGGGGCTTTAGTTTTTGGGTATGGAGGGAACTGGTGTGTTTATTTTACTGACGGAATAGGCTTTTGCCATTTCTGGTTTCTTGGGTTATAAGTCCATTTTACTTTATTGAGGTTGGTAACTATGTAACATTACAAGAACCTTTTTATGGGTCTTGACTCACCCCTCCCCCCCTCCCCTCCCCAGTAGTAAAAATAAAGGCATATGTCAAGGATTGGACTGGAGCCCAGAAAATGGTAAGCAAAATAAAAATCAAGGCACACGATTACTAAAATCAGAAAATTTTCAGAAATTTTGCAACTCTGTGGCCTGTATGGATTCTTGAATACATTGTAAACCTGACGTACTACATAAGCTGCCACATCAGCACGATAGCTTCTGAAATTCCACTTGCACTCCTGATCTTAATTTCTTCCACTATTTTCTATTTGGGATGCTTGATGTGATTTTTTTTTTTTTTTTTTTTTTCCTTTTGAAAAGCTCTGGGTAGCTTAACAGGTTTCTAGGTGTCACTGATCTCTTCTGCTTTGTAAACAAAGAAAACTGGTTTTAATATTGTCATTCTGCAACAATAAAAAGTATTGACATATCTTCACAGTAGAAGTATTTTGCTGAAGAATGAACCTCCTGAGTTTTAGAGTTGTGGTGAAATTACTATATGTCACTTCGTGCTTGAAGATAATTCAGATAGACAATCTGGCGACAGGTGGATGCAATTTAAAATGCCAAGATGTTGGCATTTTAACAGTATGGTTGCCGTTATCTTCATTTCTGTATGGATGATGGCTAAGCTTTCCCAAAAGCAAGTGTTACGTACTTAGGCTTTTTTATAGAGGTATAGAGGGTGATACCTAATCCCTGAGTATTAGAGGAGAATATATGTTTTCCATGCCAGTGACTTTAAAGAAGAAGACTGGAAGTAAATATTTGTGGTCCTTTCTGAAACTTGTACACAAAGCCAGCAAATCTTATATCCTGACTCAAATATATTTTCAAGGAAGAGAAATTGGAGTTTAACTTTACCTATAGATTTGTAGGATGTGGGAACCCTTGTAAATTCAGACTCCTAAATCTCTACATCTCTGTTAAAGTACGAAACTCTAAACCTGTTTTTACTAAAATCATAATCCGAACTCCTTTTATTCATTTTGATTATGCCTCCTGTTTAGTTTCTTGTCCGCTGTCAAATTAATACCATTTACGTATAGACACCTAACAAGTCACCACTACTTTTAGATCAGGTCATAATTGTGCTTTGAAAAATCTGTACAGAACTTTACTTGGGTTTAACTGTTACATTCAGCAATCTATTTAATACTTTATGAATTTTAAAATGTAAGATTTGTCAAATAGCTAGAAGTTTGACCAATCTTAA